ATCAATGGGAGCTCCAGACACATAGAGTAAGCACGCTCCCAGAGCTGAGAAATACTGTGATTATCTGAGAGGAGAATTTTGCCCTTTCGGTACATGCCTCCAACAATACTCACAAGTTTGCTCTTGGGGCATGTCCTTTACTGCTCTTGTTCTGCTGCCTGTTTTAGCTAAGATCACCCTTTTTATTGTCTTCAGGTGAGAAAGAAAGTCCCTAAGACTGAGATTTTCAAAGGAGGCTGTGGGCGTTAGGTACCCAATTCCTACTGAAATCCAAAAGGTTTTATGTAGAAAAGCAAAATCCTAGAGCAAAAGCAGTTGCACAGGTTAAGTTCAGAACAGATGTATTCCGAACACAACTGCTCTCATTAATCACACAATCACAATCATTGGGAGGGCTCCAAATCTGTCTACTATCTTCATCAGATCATTGGTGATGTACAGTATCAAGACAGTAGATTTAATAATTAGCGCAAAAGTCACTTGCTGTTCCCTCTAGTGTACAGGGGGCTAATAGTTCTTCCCTTTGTGTGCTTCCTCTATATTTACTATCTTGTTTCTGTGCCTATAGTCTGGCTCTCCTTTCTTTACTGAACCTTGAATGAATATGTGTGTCTAAAATGGTACTTCCGATGTATTTTCCCCTTGGGAGAACATTTGTAAAATAGAAGTGGAAGCTATGCGTCAGATTCTTTCCTCTACCCCATTGGTTTCAGTGAGGTTTCATGGGTGTAACTTGGGGCAGAATTTTTCCCTGTGCCTTTAACTTACACAAACTTCAGATGACCCCAAAGCAAGCACAATTATGGTAAAAGGAATAAAATGCCATCAATTTCTGCTAGCTGCTAATGATCTATTCCTTCACATTCTCATCTTGGTCATCTTGTTTTTATTGCATCCTACCATTTTTCATACCATGAATCTGCTAGCTGCTTTTATTAATCTACAATATTTTTATCTAAAGCAAAGATTTTGGTGAACCTGTCAGAATTTATCATTACGCTCTTCTGCTCTCTTGCATGGACTTTCGGCAATGTAGTTATATAGAATGATCCTCAACCAACAGTGATTGGTGTAAAACATGGGTCGATAATGTGATACCTTTATGTAGTCATGATTCTAATTGTACTCTTTCTACTTAATGAAGAAAGAAATGTGCAAAATTAAGTATTCCTACTTCAAAATCCCTGTAGTTTATCATAATTTAACTAACCTAGACTAGAAACCAATTATGATGGGTTAATTAATATTCAAACCAGAGCAATTTACATGGAAAGATAACCTGCAAATAAATATTTCCTGAAGTGCTTTGGTGGACAAATATAAATCCACAAAATGGACTAGCCTATGGGTTAGTATCCACCAATTAGTGGGATTTTTTCAGCTATAAATGCACTTCTTTAATATTTCATCCTGACTGTGGGCCAGGTCCTAAGAACCTTTTTCAGAGCCCAGTTCTTCCACCTTTCCATGGGGCTATTTGCTACTAATTGCTACTCCACATGAGTAAGGGCTGCAGAATCAGGACCTTGGATTTTGCTCAGTCAAGCTGCCATTGACTTCATCTGGAGACCTGCCTGAGTGAAAAGGCTAGGTCATGCCTTTTGAATCCATGTGAGGAGGGTTCCCTACACATGTGGATCTTGCACGGACTCTACAAAGGACACTCCATGGGTCTGAGCATGGGAGGGAGAGAGCAGGCAATGGGTGGGCCAAGGGAGGAGTGTTAAGAGAATGCACAATGTCCTCTCTTGCGGCCTGGAGAGGTTTCTCCCAGGCTTTTGTTAAAGGTAGAAGCTATATTACAGTTGGCAGCTCCTCCTCAGCAGTGGTCAGATTCAGGGGAGTCCCTTACAGTGCAATTCAGCTCCTCCAGGGCTCAGAGCCAGAACCACGTGGGGCCAGAGCTACTGCAGACACAGAGCCTCAATGCTGAGGAACATGCACCCGACCATGGATCCTTGAGATCCCTACAGATCTCCAGGTAGTTGTACGATCTATGGGCCATGCTGTCTCTTTCTTCTGGAACAAAGCCTGTCCCCTGATACAGGAATGTGGGGGACCCTATAGACGACAAGCTGCATCTCCGTAAGCCCCTAAGGATTTGACGAGTAACAGGAAAAACCATCAAAGAAAAAGAGCATCCACCGAGTAACCAGTCTGCTAATGACACATGCCAGCAGACTCTTGGGTACACTGGCTGTGACTGACTCATACCAGCAATGCTAATTACTGTCTTTTTTTTTTTAATTGAGATGAAGCTGGTGGCTTTTATGCCTGAAAGAGGAAGAATGATTCCATTGGCTGAATCCTGGTATAGTTATAAACTTCCCCAAGCATCTGTGATACTATAGCTGAGTAATGACCAGTTGGACTGCATTGCTGGTGAACTTCCACCTACTATATGAAGTAGTTCAGAAAAAAATTAAAATTCTTCTTAGTGTGTTAAATGTACTTTGTAAATATTCTGAATAGAGGGGCCAGAACCAAGACCCAGGATTCTAAGCCCCTCTAGGCCTGAATTTTGTTATGGGGTTGTCAGAGGCTCTGAATTGTGCTTGTCATAAATATAAAGGGAAGGGTAAACCCCTTTGAAATCCCTCCTGGCCAGGGGAAAGCTCCTCTCACCTGTAAAGGGTTAAGAAGCTAAAGGTAACCTCGCTGGCACCTGACCAAAATGACCAATGAGGAGACAAGATACTTTCAAAAGCTGGGAGGAGGGAGAGAAACAAAGTGTCTGGGTCTGTCTGTAGTCGTCTTGGCCAGGGACAGAACAGGAATGGAGGCTTAGAACTTTTAGTAAGTAATCTAGCTAGGTATGTGTTAGATTATGATTTCTTTAAATGGCTGAGAAAAGAATTGTGCTGAATAGAATAACTATTTCTGTCTGTATATCTTTTTTGTAACTTAAGGTTTTGCCTAGAGGGGTTCTCTATGTTTTTGAATCTAATTACCCTGTAAGGTATCTACCATCCTGATTTTACAGGGGGGATTTCTTTATTTCTATTTACTTCTATTTTTTATTAAAAGTCTTCTTGTAAGAAACTGAATGCTTTTTCACTGTTCTCAGATCCAAGGGTCTGGGTCTGTGGTCACCTATGCAAATTGGTGAGGCTTTTTATCCAACATTTCCCAGGAAAGGGGGGGTGCAAGTGTTGGGAGGATTGTTCATTGTTCTTAAGATCCAAGGGTCTGGGTCTGTAGTCACCTAGGCAAATTGGTGAGGCTTTTTACCAACCCTTGCCCAGGAAGTGGGGTGCAAGGTTTTGGGAAGTATTTTGGGGGGAAAGACGCGTCCAAACAGCTCTTCCCCAGGAACCAGTATTAGTTTGGTGGTGGTAACGGCCAGTCCAAGGACAACGGGTGGAATATTTTGTACCTTGGGGAAGTTTTGACCTGAGCTGGTAAAGATAAGCTTAGGGGGTTTTCATGCAGGTCCCCACATCGGTACCCGAGCGTTCAGAGTGGGGGAGGAACCTTGACAGTGCTGTTAGCTGTTGGTGAAACTCTTTATTAGACCTGGTCCTAACAGAGAAAAAGGAACTGGTCACAGAACTATAAAATTAATGGTAGCTTAGTTACCAGTGATCATGACTAATCCTAACCCAGGAATGGCGAACCACGGCCGTGTCTGCGGACGGTCACTGTAAGCAAACAGTCTCACGGCCCCTCCTGCAGATTACCCTGACGGGCAGCATGTGGCTCACGGGTCACAGGTTGCCCGCCACTGGTCTCGACATACCTACGTGGGGAACAAATATTTACTAATGGGCTCTTCAATCTAGTCGTGAAAGGTGTAACACAATCCAATGGCTGGAAGTTGAAGCTAGATAAATTCAGACTGGAAATAAGGTGTGGATTTTTGACTGGACCAATTTACCAAGAGTTGTGGTGGAATCTCCATCACTGATGCTTTTTAAAATCAAGATTGGATGCTTTTCTAAAAGATCTGCTCTAGGAATTATTTTGGGGAAATTCTACGAGCTGTGTTATTCAGGAGCTCAGACTACTATATGATCACATTGGTCCCTTCTGGCATCTCAACCTATGAATTTATAAAATGAGCTGACCACACACCCCCATCTCTTCCCCACCAACCCTCCCCCTCCCAAAAAAGCTGAGATGAACAATTCAGTCCCATCTCTAATTCAGAATTGATGCATGATGGTAATAACTGCCCCAATTCCATCTGAAGATCAAAGCAAAGACTCGTGTGAGTTATGGATCAGAGTTCCATGTGGATGAGCATTCCAACATACAGAAGTTTATCTGAACTTATAAATTTAATAAGAAGTCTCATGGAGAACGGACTTACTCATGAGATATCTAGCACTTACTGTTGCTCGTCACACTAAAATTAACTTTCTCACATTATTATGACAGGTTCTGCTTCCCTTTCCAACCTGGAACCTGTACAAAGCTACAACAATGTGTTTTTTTTTCCTTTTTGTGTGGGGATGGGGGGGCAGGAGGGAAATTCAAAGGAAACCTCCAGAAGGTTGGGTTTGTGTTCATTTTAGGAATGGGAAAAGGTCTGGGAATTCATAACTTTTCCCAAACAGTTGGATGAGACTTAATTCCATTCGTATACTGTGAGAGGGATTTTCTAAAGTTCTCAGTGCTCTCCTGACTCTGCTCCAACTGAAGTCAGTGGGTGTTTTATCATTTCCTTCAACAGGAGCCAAGTTAGGTCAGTACTGAAAATTTCGGACAATTCTACCCTATATGGACATGGAACACTTTTAGGTACCAGACTGTATCTTTTTCAAAGTTGGCATTTTTTAAAGAACAAGCTTAAGAAAATATGCTCTAAACCAGTTACTCTGAGAAAATTCATTCCCTTTGGGAGTTGGGGAACATTACAGTTTGAAATTATTTGTTTTAAACCTGCAAATCCTCATTATCCCAAGATCTCATTCCATTTCCAACTACATCTGTTCGAAAGCCAATAGAGCAAAGAATTTGATGTCTAAATATCCTATATAAATATGTCTTTCCTTCAGGTATGATATGGTCAGAATGCAAAGAAATCTGGGAAGAGGGACCACGCGAATATGTCATGCATCTTTGGAACCTGCTGGATTTTGGGATGCTATCTATCTTTGTGGCATCGTTCACTGCAAGGTTCATGGCCTTTCTCAAAGCAACTGAAGCCCAACAATATGTAGACCAGTACGTTCAGGATGATGACCTCAGTAATGTCACCCTTCCCCCTGAAATTGCTTACTTCACTTATGGTAAGATGATTTGGAGGATTAATGCTTCCCATTCTTTCAGGCGAGTGTGTGCGGCAATGCAGAAAGCAGCGGCTTGCTGCTTCTTCTTTTTTTTTTTCATTCATGAAGTTTTTCCAAATTAAAGCTGGTTCTTCTTCTCAGACCTACCAGTTGCAGCCATCTTGGTAAACCGCTAACCTAAGCTAAGAGGAACTGAGACCTAAGCTCCTCTCAGTCTCTGAACATGTACCGGGACCAGACTCAGTCGTATCGTATGTTGCAAAAATAACCCCAAGCAACTAATAATCATGAAACCAGAAGGGACTAGAATATAATTTAAATGACACATAAAGGAATCTGCTCTATTTTTCCAATATAAGAGGCACGCTGTGCTAACAAATGTGTGAGCTGGCAGCTTTATGGTCTTCTCATTTGGCAGGTGAAACTCCAACTGAAGTCATGGAAAGTCTACATACGAAAAGATGCAAGGATTGGGCTTTTAGTATAAGAAAAGGAACCACCTATTTGTAACAGTTTGTATGAAAAAAGCTTCCTGTTTACTTTGAGTTGTTGTGGCCGTGCCTGCATATGTCTTTGGTCTTATTCTGGATAAGTTCGTATCGTTTATATCACTCCCATCAGTGGGTGATTAGATATGGAACATCAGACTAGTCATATTGCATGCCTCCATTTAACAACTTTAGGTTACATATTCCGCTCTTAAGAAAAAAAAGCAGAGGAGGAAGCAAGAAAGTGCATTCAGAAGAGGATACAATTAACAAAATACTGTGCAAGAGTTTCCTTTGCTTTCATTCTTCAGTGACTATTTATGAGAACAGGCCAATATTTCCACATCCGAGAAACAATCTCTTGTCAAAAAGAAAAGGAGTACTAGTGGCACCTTAGAGACTAACCAATTTATTTGAGCATGAGCTTTCGTGAGCTACAATATGGAGGGTAACCTCTGATCTCCTCAGTTGTACATTGCATTTCTGTACAGACTCGTATCCAATAAAACCTTATGAATGATTTGCTGCCCAGAAAAGGAGCTAAATCCTTAACAAATATTATCTATAACAATGTTTGACCAGCTGTAATAGAAAAGATGCATGCAATAATAAAATTATTCTTTAACTTCTCAAATGTAGGTTTTGAATATTTGGGGGGCAATCATCAAAGGCACAAAGGGGAGTTAGTAGCCCAACTCTTACTGACTTGCAATAGGAGTTGGCCACCTAAATTGTGCTTTGCGTGAAATCCTAGCCCCACTGAAGTCAGTGCACATTTTACCATTGATTTCACGGGGTCAGGATTCCACCTTTACTGCTTTGGAAATCTTCACCTTGGAGTCTTCTTTTTTCTAAATAATAATGAGAACAGCTGTAATATGCACTTGACAAAATATTTCCTAGGATTCAAATGGCCCTTCCTTGGGTTTGAAAAATGAATAAAAGCTTTGCACTTAGGTTAGGGGTTGGATACACAGCATGGGGACAAGCCCCCACTTTCCTACCAAAGTTAGAATTACCTGCCTAAAAATAACCCAAATCACTAATGGAAAAATGGATCAGATCCTCAGCTGGTGTAAATCAGGATAACTTGCTCCATTGAAGTCAGCTAATTTACAACAGCAAAAAGTTCTAGCCCTGTGTGCACAGTCATAACATTTACAAATAATTGCATTTTCAAACACAATATTTGGAGATAAACTTCTCTCTCACTCACCGGACAAAATTGGATGACGCCTGAAATTGTTACATTCCGTTTTTCTTTCTGGTTTGCTGCCGGAATATTGTAAAAAAGTCTTTTGTTATATGGTGAGGAGCTCCATCTTGTGGAAGCTTTTTATCATTTACAAACCTTCTGTCATTTTTACCCTTGGGAAGAACCTGTAGAAAAAATGTCAGGGCTGGGGGAGAAGGGAGGAATTTTCCAGTTAATAACCTTTGGCTGATATTTAATCCAAATAGATTTTCTCACTGTGCTTGAAGAAGGATCTTTTATATTTTATATATACACATACATACCAGGGAGGTTTCTATATAGTTTATCCATCCACAGATTATTATTTACCCAGCACTTTTAGGAAGAGCTTTACAGAAAACCATGATTTTCCCAGGCTATGTGTTTTCAATTTTCACCACGTAATATGAGCATAAATTTAACAAAAACTATAAACAACAAAATTTTAAATAACGTGCGATAATCAAAAGCTTTTTAATACCTGAAGTTCTCTTTTAATTTGTTTGTTATGACAGAAACTTTTGTGGTTTATATTTTTATAATACACATACAATTATTGTACATTTTTTAAAGTAATTATAAGAATCAAGTGATTAGTCATAACATTTCGAGCTGTAGTGTTTGATGATAGAGGTTGCATGCAAAATGGGTGTTAGTTGCTTCGTGGTAAATTGCAGTGCGACGTCTAGATGTTGTTTTTCTTGCAATTTTGTATTATGCAGTCTTGTAAAATGAAGTGAAATACCCTGAGCATAAACAATTCAATTATTATATATGTACAATTAAGTTTAAGTGCATCTTTTTACGTTCGGCTACTGTTTTGATCCTCATGCCATATGCCTTACTTAAGGAGTTTGATACAGAACTATCTATTATCACCTGGAAATTTTGAAAAAAAAAATCTAATCACTACATTTATTTATTTTGCCTGGGGAGATGAACAAACTTGGATGATTTGCTTCTTACTTGGTGGTTGTTGTTAATTATATGACTATCCAACTTTGAAAAAGAACAAAACCTCAGAAAACCACTTGCTTCTGCTTTTCAATGGAAACTAAAGGTGTTAAAATATTTTCTAAATCTAGGTTTCAGAGTAACAGCCATGTTAGTCTGTATGTGCAAAAAGAAAAGGAGGACTTGTGGCACCTTAGAGACTAACCAATTTATTTGAGCATAAGCTTTCGTGAGCTACAGCTCACTTCATCGGATACATACTGTGGAAAATACAGAAGATGTTTTTATACACACAAACCATGAAAAAATGGGTGTTTATCACTACAAAAGGTTTTCTCTCCTCCCACCCCACTCTTCTGCTGGTAGTAGCTTATCTAAAGTGATCACTCTCCTTACAATGTGTATGATAATCAAGGTGGGCCATTTCCAGCACAAATCCAGGTGAATTACGCAAGGTAACCTATTTCCCCTTGTTCGCGCCACCCCGCACGAGAGAGAAAACCTGGATTTGTGCTGGAAATGGCCCACCTTGATTATCATACACATTGTAAGGAGAGTGATGAAGTGAGCTGTAGCTCACGAAAGCTTATGCTCAAATAAATTGGTTAGTCTCTAAGGTGCCACAAGTACTCCTTTTCTTTTTTCTAAATCTATTATCTCAAGTAAACACTAGAGAAATAAAGCTCATTGGGTTTTTTTTCTCCAACATCAGAACTGTTTACTGCAGTGTGATTAGATAATATATATTTTCCTTTCAATTTCTTTTAAAAAAAATCTACAGGTGAAATCTTGGCCTTATTGAAATCAATGACAAAAATTCCCATTGACTTCAATGGGGCCAGTATTTTGCCCTGCTAATTCTTGGTTCCAGAGTAATATATTTGTATTAAAAGTTAGTTATTTTAATTTCTGAAATTTGGTTAATACGGTAACAACTGGTTGTAAACTGATATAGAACAAACTATAAACTAATCTGAAAACATTCCCTCCTCCACTCCTAATATTGACTAAACATAAACAGGCACTTAAAAATGTAGCCAGCCTTTTGCTTTAAGTTCAGAACTGAACTTTGCAGATATGCTGCAGGGAATACTCTGCTTCTTTTCATATCATCTGGGTTCATGCAAATAATACTCAACTTTATTCCTATGTCTTTAAATATGGTACATGTTTTAGTTTTGGGTCAGACGCCTTGTATTCAATGATGAGCCTCAGTTCATGCAAAAGAACATCTAGATACTCATATTCAAAGCATATTCAACAGGTAGATTAGAAAACTGATTTGTATGCGTATAGTATCAGCAAGGAACTTGTTAAAAATTGTCAGATTTTTTAAATTAAAAACGTTAACACAATAAAGATGTATTAAAAGGTTTGGTGGTTCAATTGGCTTTATCTGAACAAATCCAAACCTCTTTGGTCTAATCTCATGAGGACAGGTTTTGCCACGGGCTGTTTAGTCCGTGCAGGTTACGTTACATTTTGTGTCTCTATAGGGTTAGAGATAGCAACTGTAAAAAAACGGGACACGGGGTGGGGGTAATAGGTGCCTTTATAAGGAAAAAGTCCCCCAAAATGGGACTGTCCCTTTAAAAATGGGACGGGTGGTCACCCTATGTATTTATATGGAGCTGTTAATTCAATAATTAAAAGCTGGAAATTTTCCCATCAGTGTGATTCTGATCCACAATGACAAAATTCCCATTGACATCAGTTGGAGCAGGAGACAATGGTGCACTGGACTGGGAGTCAGGGAATCTGGGTGCTGATTCCCAGTTCTGCCCCTGACTGCCAGTGTTCCTTGGGTAAATCACAGCAAACTTCCTGTGCCTCAGTTTCTCTAGCTGAAAAATGTGGCTAATCATTCCTATTCATCTTTGTACAGCACAGTGAGACCTGCAGATTACTAGTAGATGCCTACACATTTCCTACCAGTCCTGGCCAGAACTGAGACCCTGGACCTATTTTATGGGTCATTTATATTTATCTTTCTAACATTTGTCTCTTACTAATACCTTATATATGTGTATTGTTTCAGCCAGGAACAAGTGGCTTCCCTCGGACCCTCAGATCATATCAGAAGGACTATATGCAATAGCTGTGGTACTCAGCTTCTCCCGCATTGCTTACATTCTTCCAGCCAATGAAAGCTTTGGCCCTCTTCAGATCTCTTTGGGAAGGACTGTGAAGGATATCTTCAAATTCATGGTCATCTTCATCATGGTGTTTGTTGCCTTCATGATTGGAATGTTCAACCTTTATTCTTACTACCTTGGTGCAAAATATAACCCAGCATTTACAACGTGAGTACCTAGGAAAAGGAGGCTATGTAGATTATAGTTCTAGACCTAGCAGGATCCCTTTCTGGGCTGCCTCATAAGTAACCTGCATGCCTTCTGCAACTCATGTCGTTTGCACTGTATTGCTGCCGTGTTTAATTATTCCAAGTGGTGAAGAGGGCTCTAACTGCATGAGTCCATTAGAGCCAATGAAAGGTGCATGGCTAAAACCTGGTGCGATGTTTAATAAGCAGAAAGGACCCTCCAGCCAAGCCCTTTTTTCTTTTTCTTTTTTTCTGTTCCCCTAAATCCAATCCTCTCTGACCCACCCAGTCACTCAGTTCCTCCCCTCTTCCCCAGGATGCTTTTCCTTTGTATTTTATCTCCCTCAATGCACTACAAGGCCTGTTTTGGCTCCCCAAGTCCCCTTAACTTCACCTTATATTTATGGTGGGGGCCCACTGAGTCTACCAGTCTCTGCTAAGCCAGTTACTGCTAAGCTTGCAGGCTTTAAAATTTCAGAGTCAGAGGTGCCTCAGAATTTATTGCAGACTTCTGACATTCTTGCCTCGGTTGCTGTTTGCCTGGGAGAGCTGCACCTTGGGCTACTGCTTCAATTGACTGGGGAGGTTCAGACTTCGGCTGGGAGACCAGTAGGTACAGCCTCCAGTTTTGATGTCATAACCCAGGTCTCTTTCAAAGAGTGTGCAGTCAGCAAAAAAGGAAACCCAATAACTCAGAATCTGTTATTTCTAGGGTAAAACACAAGCAGGAAAATGTTTTTTTGAGGTGAGTGGAAAGAGCAGAGGAAATTTTCATAAAATTGACAGCAGTGAAAAAGAAATCCCTTTGTATTTTTACCTTTAAGAAGAACAGTCAATACAGCAGGCCATGTTGCATTTGTGATCAGCGCAGAAGGGCTTAAACATAATTATCATTCAAAAGCTACTTCTACCAAAGTGTATGTAAAATGATGAAGCAGTAAAATTGCACATGTTTTGCATCAGTAATTTCACACCTGCATGTGGCTGCTATGCAAGGCAACATGTATCTGAAGAACCAAGTGTTTAAAAAGTGCTATTGATGCATTTTTAAAAAAAAAAACAATAAATAAATAACGGTGGGGAATATAAGACAGGGAGCTCTACATTCTCTAAATCAAGTGCATTTCTCAGTAGAGAACACCGTGAAGACATGCATAATATCCTGCCAGCATATAGGCAAGATACAAGGAAAGATGCAAACTAGGTTGCTCGTGATCTCCCTCTGGTGCCCATCCAATAAATCAACAACCTTGAGAAGCTGGAGGTTGTCTGCACTTTGTGGTTGTTTGCTGTATATACTGTATTACAACTGCTTGAATATTGCAACAAATCATTCCTCATATAATGTCCTTGAGCGGCTCTACAGTATGTGCAATGGGTGAATAATAGGACTATAAGTGAGAAGTGGTTCCTCAAAATATGCCTGACTTTATTCAGGCTAAGCTAAGATGTTTGATATCACACCGCTTATTTGGAGACTAGATATGTGGTAACCAACTAGTATTCCTGTATGCCAGAATCTAGTAACTGTGGGCTCTGTATTCCTATCAGCATCAAAAATAGCAGGAAGAGAAACAGTGTTTGGAAAACACCACAGGAGAGAACGCACTGAGTTTCTAAAAGATACCCCTTTGGAAGGGTTTGGAGCCTCTTGGAGGCAGTAGGAAGTGCAAACTAGAAACCTTATGGATCCACACAGGACTCCATGCCCAACCCCATACATACTGGGGTGCAAGGAGAGCTGCCTCTCCACACTTGTCTCCGGGCACACACATCATCAGCATGGATCCCTCCGGAGTTGTGCTGCTATTCGCTTCCCTAGCCATATACCCTTGAGGCAGAAAGTACAGAGTGGGAGTTCATGTTTCAACTAGGGTTAGTTCCCTGGTGCACTTCCCCTCGGAGATGGCCACGTTATTCCCCAGGTCTGCCCTGACAGGCCCCCAAAGACATGCAATGAAATGCTCACATCAGCAGGTGTTTTGCCATTGACTTCAGTGGGGACAGGATTTCATCCATAAGAACATACATACCGGATCAGACCAAAGGTCCATCTAGCCCAGTATCCTGGCTTACAACAGTGGTCAATGCCAGGTGTCCCAGAGGGAATGAACAGAACGGGTATCATCAAGTTGGGGGGAGGGATAGCTCAGTGGTTTGAGCATTGGCCTGCTAAACCCAGGGTTGTGAGTTCAATCCTTGAGGGGGCCATTTAGGGAACTGGGGCAAAAATTGGGGATTGGTCCTGCTTTGAGCAGGGGGTTGGACTAGATGACCTCCTGAGCTCCCTTCCAACTCTGATATTCTATGATTGATTCTATGAAGTGATCCATCCCCTATCACCCATTCCCAGAATCTGGCAAACAGAGGCTAGGGGCACCATCCCTGCTCTTCCTGGCTAATAGCCATTGATGGACCTATCCTCCATGAATTTATCTAGTTCTTTTTTGAACCCTGTTGATAGTCTTGGCCTTCACAACATCCTTTGGCAAGGAGTTCCATGGGTTGACTGTGCGTTGTGTGAAAAAATACTTCCTTTTGTTTGTTTTAAACCTGCTGCCTATTAATTTCATTTGGTGACCCCTAGTTCTTGTGTTATGAGGAATAAATAACACTTTATTATTTACCTCCTCCACACCAGTCATGATCTTATAGACCTCTATCATATCCCCCCTTAGTCGTCTCTTTTCCAAGCTGAAAAGTTCCAGTCTTATTAATCTCTCCTCATACGGCAGCTGTTCCATACCCCATGGAGTTTGAACAGTGAGCGTAGGAACAGATGGGATTAAATTGGCTCCCAAGGAGGAGAGGCAGTTTATCACAGTTGTCCCATTGTTCCCTCAGAAAAGTTCTGGGGCCAGTCCACCCCTGCTTGTGCTCCCATCTGTGACTCAAGACAGAGGAGAGTCGGAGGAACACAATATAATGTTTCCCCCTTGTAGGTCTAACCTAGGGGTCTCAAACACGCAGCCCGCAGTGTTATTTGCTGCGGCCCACTAAGCTCCCCGCCTCCCTGGAGTTATTTCCTGCGGCTGTCAAGCTCCCCTCACCCGCTGCCACCCCCCCGCGCCCAGAGGGCCATGTCCCTTCTCCTCTGCCTACCTTCAGGCGCTTCCCGCCGCCAAACAGCTGTTTGGTGGTGCTTAGCGCTTTCCAGGAGGGATGGGGGAGGAGCAGGGAGCCGCGCACTCAGGGGAGGAGGCAGAGAAGAGGCAGGGCCGGGGCGGGGATTTGGGGAAGGGGTTGGAATAGGGACAGGGAGGGAGTGGAGTTGCGGTGGGGACTTTGGGGAAGAGGTTGGAATGGGGGTGGGGAAGAGGCAGGGTGGGGTGGGGCCTCATGGAAGGGGTTGAGTGGGGGCGGGGGCAGAGGGGGCCTTTTGTATCTTTATATGAAAAGGTTCCTGTCATGCGGCCCTCGGGCCAATGTACTAGTCCTCACCTGGCCCTCGTGGTGATTTGAGTTGAAGATCCCTGGTCTAACCTAATGATGCCACTTTAAGACAACCCCTGAAGTGACATTTAGTTAAGTAAATGTTTAAGTAAGTTGATACTGAAGCACTAACCCTAAGTCAAAGTAAACAGGACCTGGCATTTTGATGTGGTGTTCATATACTATATGACACAATGGATGGAGGAATGCTGCTGTTAGCCCCAGTGTGAGGAAATGACCTTCCCAACTTAGTTTCTGTCTCATAGGAACTACAGATTCTTTCCAACGTATAGCATCCAGCTGTATTACTCCACTGTGTAGCATAACATATGCTTTATAAATCAGAGTTTAAACTTCCTAATCAAAGAAAATATGTCTCCCAGGGTTCTTCTGTTGCCTCACGATACATTTTAATGGAGGGATTTCCAGGACTGGCTGCAAATACATTTCTCTGTTTCTAATAACAAGGTAAAAGAAAACTGAGTATGTAGAAGGTGACATATTAATCATACAAATAGAAGACTATGCCCTTGAAGTACAGGAATTACTCAGTGGCTAAGTCAATAGCTCCCCTGCCTGCCTGGTGGAATAACAACCAACAGTTATGATTCTCCATTGGTGCATGTTTCCAAAATAGTTGGCTAATGAATTTTAGGCCATCTCTGATGCAATATCATTGTGTATCATTTCTATTTACTGACAAGCTTATCTAACCATGAGGTTCTCATTATAAACCTTGCAGCATGTATTGTCACTTGAATGATGAACAAGCCTTGATTGAAATGGTGACTATTCCCTAGAGTAAAAATTATTTCCAGTTGTAAAGGTTGCAGGATCAAGTTGTAACAAGGGAGCATGGGTGGTTGGGAGATACCTGCCCAAAGGGGAAATACAATGCTCTTCTTTCTTAAGTCCAGATCCTCTGGAGATTCCAAATACTAGATGCTCATCTATCTGCCCTGTAATGAGTTGGTATTGTTAGTAAACACCTATCTGAAGAACCCAAATAAGCCATGTAAGAATTTGGAAGAGAAGTCAAAACTCAAATTAGGGTGTAAAAGTACCAGGTTACTAATTTAGGACAGCAGATTCTTTACCAGCAGAGTAGAGGTATGTGCTGTCTGAACATCTGACAATGCCACTGGAAGTAGCGCGTTGGCACTTTTGGCCTGGATCCCACAACCTGATCCATTCAGAGAGAATGTCCCCATGATGAATCCCCCTGGTGCTCCACACACGCTAAAACGTGCCCCAGAGCAGGTCAGATTGCAGGGATTCTGTTATCTTGCCCAGCAAATTTCAATTCGCACTGTTAGGGAAATTCACATCGGCGAACATTCCTCCAACTTTGTTCCTAATGCTGTTCACAGTTAGTAAGAGTAGATTTCCAGGTTTCCCATTGCTGTTTCAGATTATTTTAATACCCTGGAGTGTGAAATATGTGCTTAGTAAGGGAGGTGTGCAGTCTTTTTTTACATAATGCATATACCGTACAGCTCAGGGATTAACATTCATTTTAGACCATTTTCAGACACTTTCACAAAGCTG